GTTAAGATTTGCAAGAGGTGCGAACGTTGAAGAAGTAATCGATGCCGCATACAAATTTGCTTCCTAATTGTTCTCTAATTCAGTGAAATACTTTAATTATATGAAACTTTTTAGGTTTCCAACGCGATCGCGTTAAGCGTCAAATTTTCCAAACGAATTCGAAACGATGAGAGCGACGACTCGAATTCAAAGACTCGGACACGAAATCCTTGCAATTTGGCCCTGGCCGCGTCATACTTCGCTCCGAATGAAATCCCAGCGACGATTCCGCACGGAATTTACGGGACGGCCATTTCTCAGCGAGAAATTCCGGCGTGCCCTGTGGATCGCGGGTGATCGAGTCGCGGCCGGTTTCCGATCGATCGGACGCCGTTCGCCCGCGAGACTGTCAGGTTGGTGTGTGCACGGGCCGGCCGGATAGAGAGAGGCTGCTTAACATTTTATAATTCCGGATGCCGGCGAGAAACGGAAGAAATTACCGAGGAGGACGGTGAACGATCGCGGAACCCCCGGAGCCCACGAAACGCGCGCGTACATCGCGCGCGCGCGAGTGAAACTTTTAAGGGTATCGATGATTCTCGTCTACCTTGTTACTTATCCCGGGAGAGATGCGAGAGCCGAAACTCCGACGGCCTCGAATCTCTCGGCTCTCGAATAAATGGCGACCAACGGCCTGGAAAAAAAATTGTTCGAACGTGGACCCCGGCCCGTGAGACGGATAGACGGGCTAATGGAGATTTACGTTACCCGGAGACAGACGGACAGAGAAGACGTGGAAGTCGTCGGTGGCGGAACGGGGGTGGAGAGGAGAGAGGGAAGAGCGGAGGAAGATAACGCGAAGACGAGAGGAAGGTCTGGACAAAGGGAGACAAAGACGGGGAGAGAATCGCTCCGTCCCCTACTCTCCGGGGAAGTTAATTAAAGGGGTGGCGACACGGCCCGCGACCGGAATATCGATCAACTCGAAATTCAATTTCAAATTTTCAATTCAATTTCGATCGAAACGGAGGATTTATTAGGTCGTCGCTTTCACGATCTCGAGGTACGCGATTATAATAATTTTAATAAAGCTGCCCTCGGACGCGCGAGAAGGGGGGGTGCGGGCCCGGAGCGTAGGCCGGCTGCGGGGGCGGAATCGTTGGTAAAACGAGCCGGGAATACCGAGATTCCGCTCGGCTCGAATAACTGCGGGACAATATTAGCGCGAATGAGGGGGCCGACGTATTTATTAGAAATTGACCGGCGCGCCGCTCTATCGTTCCGTGCTCTAACCCCCGCGACTTTATGGTCCGAGGCGATAAATAAATGCATCCGGCTTGCAGATGAAGTTCTTCCGGCGCCTGTGCCGCGATCTTTGAATTTCGTTTGAAAATAAAAAAAAAATCAATAAACTTCATCCGCGCGGATAAACGCTGTTTCGGGTCACTGTATAACAACGAACTAGTATTCATGATATGGGAATAAAAATGTATGAATAAAAATAGCGACGGTGGCGCGCTCGAAAGCCGTCTGAAGGGACTCGGCTATTTTTGGATTCACCGAGGACGCGGCGAGATTCTGCGGTCCAAACGAGCTCTGTCATCGGGAAGTCAAAGGCCGCTTCGTAAATCTTCCGCGAGACAGCCGCGGATGAAGAATACCGCCGTAGTTGCTGTTTCAGGAAATATCGCATATTTCCAATTTCCAAATTAACAGGTGCGAGAGTAAATCTACGTCGAAACGTTGCAAACTCGATGAGCTGGTCAGAGGATTGCATGCGTTTTCGAACAATTGCGTTAACATATATCGATGACGACTCGTTTAGAGTTGCGTGGAGACGACGCGGTCGTCGTAATTGATCCTTTTACGAATAAAATTCATTTATTTCTACTAAAATTATTCATAATAGCATTCCAGCTATATTTCACGAATTGGAGTGAAGTGGATTTATACATAAAACTGTTAATTTGGTGCGCGAGAAGGGAAAATATTATCAACGAAACGATATCTATTTCATCTCTGTGTCAATTTTATTTCAGCAATTTATGGATAAAAATCCTACAAGCATTGTTTTAGCTTCGACATCGTCTCCCATGGGTGCTGATCATTAGGCATCCATTGTTCTCTTTGCAACATTGTACTTTACGATGAATATAAGACAATGCGGTAGAAAGGACATTTAATGTTTAAAAGAGGATCAATGTTTTTTAACAGCGGAAGCGTGGAATCACGCGGTGTCGCGTGGCTCGCGACGTTAATTTTTTACACAGCCAGTAATTATAAACCGGTTAAGGGTTGTGTCGGCGCGCGCGTAGCGCACCATTCCGTTGGAGCACGGAACCCCCTGTCCGCGGAAAACGATGCCGAGTGATACTTTTTACCAGAAAAAAGTCTGTCGAAATGTATGCATAATACCCGGCTCGGTCGTCGATGTCTCGACATCGATCTCTCCGGATGGCTCGCGACGATCCCGCTCAGCCGAACGGGGTAAAACTGGCACCAATACATATTCAAAGGGTAGTTCGGGCCGGAGCGGCGCGGCGCGGGCCGGTTCGGGTCTGGTCTGGCACGCGGCATTAGCATCGATCGCCTTCCGGGACTGTGTCCGCGTCTGCCGACCGTTTATTCGGTCTAGAATTTCCCTCGTAACGAGCTAAGGGGTGCTCTCGTCGGACGAGCCTCGCCTCCTATTGTCCCGTGGCACGAACGACCGTTAATTAATTCTTTTCCGACCGCTGGAAGACGCGGTGAACCGGTAAACCGACGGAACACCCGGCCCGGAGTAGATCCTGCGGGGAGACGTTGGGCGATCGATCTTCCGCTCATCTCTTTCGTCCTGCTGCAATCGACTCCTCTTTCTGCAATTAGGCTACGGACTTTGTTATTTATTGTAATTATTATTTATTTTATTATTTTTATTTATTGCTGTTGTTATCTCTGTTATTTACTGGTTGTCGGATGCGAGCACTTGGTGCGAGGAGAACTTGAAGAGCAGACGTGGGAGGTCTCGCAATAACGCAGAAATTTATAATAAGGTTATGTATTTATTTATTTATTTATTTATTTATTTGTGAATATATTAATATATATATATATATAATAATAATAATATAATATTAATAATATAATATAATATAATAATATAAACATAATAATAATATAATATATAATATACAGAGGAAAAAGACCTTTGCGATATAATGGTTGACAGACGAGCAATATACGTAAACAGTACAGAAGGCGCATAAACGAGTGCTTGCATAATAATTAATTAAAAGTGACTACAAAACGAAGGAATGTCAGATACTATGTGCAACCTTGTTAGTGGATAGCATGAACGGAAAAGGTGTATCACAGCGAGTTAAAACGTACAAATGAAATAGAAAATTGAAACAAATCTTGAAAATTGAAAAAATCTTGAAAAAATCTTGAATATTGACAAAGATACGATTTAAAGATCTATTGTATATATAATAAATCGACCACATAAAACGGTCTATGAAATCCTTCTGTAGAGGATCGGTCGTTGTTTAAGAGGTGCCGATTTATTTTTAAAAAAAGGGATTATTTTTTTAAAAGGGATCATCCCATTGAAAACTTCGTACACAAATAACAAATCGGAGGCAATGCGGCAATGTTGTACAATACAAAATAAATTCAAACAACAGAAAATGAATTCTAGACTTAGCATGACCATCTAGACTAACTCATGACCGAGCAGTCATGATCACGACGAGGAGAATGAGGAGAATGTTTCTGGAGCTTGTTTAGGAACCTGGGAAAATGAAGATCGAACGAACACACGGCTGTAATGAAATACGATTTATTTACTAAATATGCGAAATATATACATTAGGCCATACACACAAGTACGCGATCGTTTCCGACGAGCGTTCGGCTGTCGACGAGCGAGATCGCCACGGAAAAACACGGAATTTCCTCTTTGTTTCCGTGGTCCGTTCCCGTCACATTGGACACCGACGTCCCGAAGAAGAGTCGTGGCCCGACTCCAAAAACGCGGCCCACCGGTCCGTTGACTATGCTATGGAAAGCGCGATTAGTATCGCATCGGCTCGACCTCTCTCTCTCCCTCTCTTTCTCTCTCTCCCTTTCTCTCTCTCTCTCTCTCTCTCTCTCTCTCTCTCTCTCTGTTCGTTCATCTCTCTTCTATTCGGTAAGGTACGCGGAATACGGCAGGTATACAGCGCGTCTCTCTCAGGTATATACAAGTATACAGACTTGCTCGCACACGTACATACACAGTTTTGCATCGGCGCGCGGGAAACGCGCGCGACACGCGACGCGTTTCCGCGCGGCGGAAGGATGTCGCGAGGAAGGTGAATTCGCGATCGAGATTCGGCGATTATCGTGCGGTCGTTCCAGACGCGCGCCGTCGTTCCCGTCCGCCGGCCGTCGGAGACGCGCGTCTAGGAATATCGTGCCTCCTCTGATCGGCCGATCCGATCGGTGAAACATACAAACAGTCCGTGTGTGTCAGTCCCGTCGCGTGGGTCCGTCGGGCGTTCCGTCGATTCGGTCGGTGGCGACTACGAGCTACGAGAGTGGCGGCGCGAGAAAGTGCAGCGCGTCGTTCGTTTATTTTTTTTCTTTTTTTTTCGGAAGTACGATTACGGGACAGTGGAAGCTTCGAAGCCGTAAACGGGTTACACGTAACGTTGCGTGTGCTACGCGGGTGCGCGTCATTGCGAGAAACACGGCGGGATATGCGGCGGAACATCGAGATCGGGACTCGAGTCGCGACTACGGTGCTGTCTCGATAACTCGATGCAAAGTCTCGATAACTGTCGCGGGCCCTATCGGGATCAACCAGCACAGACTAGCTCAGCTTTCGCTGATTCTCAGCTCCCGGTACAGTATAATGTCTCCCCAACTGACGCTCAGATTGTGCAGAAAAATGGAGAATTTGGGAAAAGAAGATACGAGCCTTATTCGAGCCTTGCGCTTCGTTTTCATAGTTACGAATTGTTAAGAATTATAAAAACGAGCTGCATGGTTCGGATAATCGTATCTCCTCTTCCCAAATTGTCCATTTCTGTGGACAATCCGAGCGTCAATTAGAGAGACATTATTGTAGTACTTCTTACCTCGAACTCTTCGTCTCTAACCTCCGCTGGAGCCACTCCGGAGCTTCGCCTCGTAGGACCCATCATTGGGAGCTAATTCGAACGTCGGCGGTGATAAAATCGAACAATGCATCGCTAGAGCCAATCGCGAATAATGACCGCCGTTTCTCAGCTCCCAGTAGTACTTCTCACCTTGATCTCCAAACCACATTGGACCTATTCCAGAGCTTTGCATCGTAGGTTCCACCACTGGGAGCTAATTCGAGCGTTAGCTTTGATCGAATAGGAGCTGGCGCTGTTAGAGCCAGTCATAGACGACGATCATGTTTTCAGCCTCCAATGGCACTTCCCACTTTGAACTTTTGAACTCTAAATTCCGCCGTGGTAAAATCTGGACTCCAGAGTCTAGAGTTTCGCCTCGTAGAACGGCTTCGCTCGAGTCGAAGAGTGCACTATTCGACAGTTTCGCATCGATTGAGAGTGCACCAATTTCGAAATCTATCCGCAGCCTTAATTCTGGGCCGGTTATCGAGACAATACCGTGCTCCGCGATCTATCGCGACCCATCCCGAATTCTCCGGGCCACGGCCGAGCGGGGTCCGTCTCGCCGGGCCCAGTATGCGTCAGCAAATTAATCGAATCTCGCGTGTCATCGTGTCGCTCGAAACGGATCCGTCCGGGGTCCTGTAGGCCCTGCTGTCGTCCGATGGACACCGGTAGGCTCGTCGAGGGGTCCTGGACCCGTTTCCCGCGGCGCCAGTGGTCGCCGCCCCAGGGTCAGTGGTCGAGCCTCGTTTGACCGAGGGTCGAAGAGGTGCTCCGGCTCGGTCGTCGTCGGCGAGGTAGAACGCGAGACGCGTCGAATCGACGATCCGATCCGCTGTCCCGCCGTTCGAGACTCTAAACCGGCGGCAGCAGCCGTAGCAGCAGTGCACTAGCCACCGTCAGGCACATGCAGGAGGTTGCAGCGCTCGCGTGACCCTCCACTGCAACAGCCAAGAGTATACTTAACACGTTTCGGGCTGGACTTATCGCGCCGCCCGGCCGGCCGAGGTAATCGAGCTTTCGTAAATCGAGCGCCCGAGCTACGCCGGTTTTCTTTATTGTTGCTCGAGTTACGCGTCCGACGTCGGCCTTTCACGAGCGGACACGATAATGCCGCGATTACGCTCCAACGTACCTACGAACAGACGTTTCCCGGCCGTTCTAGATACGTTTCTACCAGGAATCGAAAGAGCCGCGGAACTTTCTGATAAGTTCTCCTTGAAACATGCAACTTTTTCAACGAACCTACCGACATGTCCGTTCCACGGCGAGTTTCCAGCAAAAGTCTGTCCCGTTTTTAATCTAACCCTTAGCGCTCCGAAGGCTCCGCTACGGAGACATTTGTCATTTGTTCCGTAACTTCGAAGGCTACGCTGCGGAGCCAAATGTTTTTAGCATTTGTTAGCAATCGTTATCTGTGCTTAGTCTGTACCATTATGATTAAACCATTTTTTGACCTTTTCTATGGTTAGCAGCATGGAGAAAAATAAATATTACGATGAGAATTTAGAGCCGAGTGATACCGAAGACGTATTTGATTTTGAAGAGTTAAAAGACATTGTGGAAGACAATGTTGGTTATGATTCTGACACTTCGGCAAGTAGTAGCGAAATTATACTATCCAAAGAGACGAAGAATGAGAATTATTGAAAGTGAAAGCGAAGATTCGTTACAAGACTTGGACGAATGGCGTGATGTTACGGAAGAAATACATATTCCAGACAGAACACCTTTTAGCGTATTGCCACAGGTCATTGGACCACAAGTTCCTACAAACATTGAACAGCCGATACGATATTTTAAATTATTTTTCACGGACGAATTGGTAAATGAAATTATAAAGGACACCAACAATTACGCAGAAAATGTTCTAAACTTGGAAGAAACATCTAGTAACTCTATTTGGCAAAATGAATACTGTGACACTTGTCCAAGTAAATCCAGAATGCATATTGGAGATTGTTACCAAAGATATCGCGCCATGGTGAATCACAAAATTAAAAATTTATCTTTTATTTGCAATAGGAAAATGTATACTTATAAAATAAATAAAATCAAATGCATTCGCAAGGAAGTGTAATCTTTTCCGCTCGGAATAAGACTTCCTTTATCTCAGGCGCTCCGCTCCAAAAATGTGCCGGAGTTGCTGGTAGGCAGTACTCGAGAAACGCGCGGAGCGCTAAGGGTTAATTTCAGTTATTTATATACACGGGTAGAAAGCCATTTCTTTACAATACGGAACCGAAAGTTTACGTTATACAGAATCCGCGAGTCAGCGGTTTCGGTGAACAGTTTATCGGAAAATAGTTTTGCGAATTCCGCGAGGGCATTAAGCGGTCGTAGTTGCGATCGCGCGAATCGCGGCTGACCCATTTCGAGGTCAACGAAGCGAGAAAGCTCGTGCTTTTTACGCGCGGCACGAGGAAATCGAGCCGCTAATTCGGAGAACGGTGCGTGCGAACTAAAAATAATTGTGCATCGAGGGGTCGGCGTTGAATCGAGAATTGGGACGGGATCGGGTCCGAGGACGGTGGAAGAGATCGTCGTTCCCGGGACAATTTGAAGCTTTTCCACGGTGCACATCGAGGAGGAAAGTTCGCGGCTCGTCGCGTCGATAACTTTGCTCCTCGGTCGACGCGTCGCGACGTTCATCCTCGATTCGTGCCGCTAGTCGGCCGTGAAAGCGACGTCGCGACGCGACGCGACGCGCTCTCCGAGTCAAGGAAAAGAGGTTGCGAACGTCGATAAGCCGTGATGGGGGCGGCGAGGGGCTGGCCCGATGGAAAGTTTCTACGTACAGAGGATTCGTCGAGGGGTCTCTCGGGCCGATCGAAAGCGGGACGGGACCGGAACGGGAGCGGCTGGTGCCGCGAGCGAGCCGGTCTAGGTCGGTTCCATGAACGATTCCGGCTAACGAGAAAATCGAGGATCGTTAAGAGTAATTTCGTCCAGACGTTCGACACAGTCTTCCCGCCCCCCTGGCGGCTCCCCTCGGTCGATCTCCTAGTTTCCGAATCGTGGCGCGACTCGGGTCTGGCCGCTTTCGATCGAGCAAAAGGCGGGGGAGAAGAAAACGCGACTTTCTCGGCCGTGGCGAGAGATCGATCGCGTCGTTTCGACACACGAGCGCCGATTTTCACTCGACGGTATTGGAGTTGCGTGCAAACCGACCGCCTCTCTCTCTCTCTCTTTTTCTCTCTGTCTTCTCCGCTTTGCTTCTCTCTCTCTCGTCGGTTTGGCCCGACCCGAACCCAAACAATGGCGTCGTTACGCGCGAATCCGGTGGACCGTTTCCACTAGCCGGCGCTCGCGAGATTCGTACGACGTGCCGCGGCATACCTAACTAAATAAACGCGGTTCGATCGGACGGCGTCGCGTGTACGCGCTGAAACAGACAGCGCCGGGCCGAAAGCTTTCGGGAAGTACACTGCGAAGCGTTTGGAAGAGTTTCCGGAGGCCCCGCGAGCCTCCGCGAGGCGGCTACACCGCGGGGATTTCGCTGGGCAAATATCCCGCATTGTCCCTGGCCCCTCGCGCGCGGGGCCGGGACTGTTTGCGAAAGATTTTCCCCGCGAAAAATGGAAGGAAAAGAAGCCAGCGATGACTTCCGCGCGGAGAGGGGGCGTCATAACGTATTCGTTAGGGTTTGCGGTGCCCACCTAAGCTTTCTAGGCGGGATCGCTGAAAGTTTAATGGCCGAAAATTCGACTCTCACCCCGCCGCCGGGCTCTGCCTGGACGCGCGGGCCTCAAAAATTTACACCGGCAACGAAAAACCGTGGAAAAGATCGAGCCAGCTTCGGAGACGGCGTCTGCTCGCTTCGCGAGTACCGCTCGACTCCCAAGCTTTGCACATGGAATTAGTATAGGGATTTTATGTGTAAACGTTCTGAAATATTCCTGGCTCTAGGCTCCGGTGGGCGGGAACTGTTTCGACCAATTTTTTCCAACGAAATTTCCACGGAAGATTTCCTATTGTCCATGTTTTCGGCTGACGGTCTGCCGCGTTCATTCCGGTCCCGGCGACCTCCCGGCATTACGGTGGGAATTAGTAAGGGGACTTTAGGGGTGAACGTGCTGAAATATTCCTAACTCCTCCCGCGTCGCAGTAGGAACCTTCCTGAAAAATTCTCGCGTCGGAAGAATAAGGAAAAACCATCTTCTGGAATAGTGGACCGCCATGATGCTACCTGGAACTCTATTCCGTGCTCCGTGAATTTCTACTCCGGAAATTCAATTTATACAGGGTGTCCCAAAAATGTCTCGCAATCCGAAAGTGGCGGGTTCCTCGGGTCATTCGAAGCAACTTTTTCCTTTACAAAAATTTTCTCCGAGGTACCGTCAACGAGTTATTAACGAAAAACAGTGGCCAATGAGACGCGAGCTCGGCTGGCGCGAGGCGACCGAGCCAATGAGCGGAACTGGGCTTCGCGCGCTGGTTGGCTGGGCCGCCTCGCGTCAGCCGTACTCGATTCTTATTGGTCACTGTTTTTCGTTGATAACTCGTTAACGGTGCCTCGGAGAACATATTTGTAAAGGAAGAAGTTGCTTCAAA